GGGGGGGGGGGGGTAAAACAATTACAAGTTTAACAAAGACCTAATGTAAAATTAACGCAATATTTAAAATAAAAGCCCGTGAATTAAGGGTGGTATTGGATTAGCGTTTGTTGCGTATCCGATGGCGGTTCTAAAGATGAATCCACCCGCTCTTTGGTCTTTCTTCTTCTTCTTCATGTTGATATGCCTGGCCTTGTCTTCCATCTGTGGCGGGGTGCAGACATTCCTAGCGTTCATACTCGACGAGAAACCAGAATGGACCGGGTAAGGAATATTATTAAAGGAACTAAGTACATAGAATAGACTGGGTAAGGAATATTATTAAAGGAACTAAGTACGTAGAATGGACTAGGTAATGAATATTATTAAAGGAACTAAGTACGTAGAATGGACTGGGTAATGAATATTATTAAAGGAACTATGTACGTAGAATGGACCGGGTAAGGAATATTATTAAAGGAACTAAGTACGTAGAATGGACTAGGTAAGGAATATTATTAAAGGGACTAAGTACGTAGAATGGACTGGGTAATGAATATTATTAAAGGAACTATGTACGTAGAATGGACCGGGTAAGGAATATTATTAAAGGAACTAAGTACGTAGAATGGACTAGGTAAGGAATATTATTAAAGGGACTAAGTACGTAGTTTTGGGTGATTCTCGAATTGTAGTAAGACAAGTTCATTGTCCATGAATCACAACAGTACCCTTTAACTCTTTCTTTAAGTAAAAATGATAGAGTTCTACGGCTTTTACCTCTTTTCTCTATTATCAAAATCACTATTTTCAGTTGCAGTTTTCTAGAAAAGTTGCGCATTTGTGCAGGCCGGACAATAAGGAAATTGCCCAGAATTCAAAAAGAAAAACAATGTCCTGATTGTTGCTTAGAAATAGCTGTAAAGGGTACCGCTATGAATCGGCATGCAAATTCTTAATATGTGGAGTTTTTGAAATTACATCAATAGTTTCTTTAAAGGGAGTGACCGGCAACGTATGTTAGTTGCAGAACTGAGAACGTAGTATTTTGGAGAATTGTTTAGGATTCATTTGAAACATATAAAACGTTTTAATGATGTATAATTAGCGAGTTTGAGCCAAATTCGACGTTGAAAATTATCCATTTGAATGTTACGTTTTGAGAATCGAATTCTAAAAATTATTAAATAACGACGACCAAAAACTTTAATAAAAATTTTACAGTAAACAAATTAGTTGTTTAGGAACAGGTTAAGAAAATAAGAATTTACTCTTATCATCGTAATTTTAATCAGTTATTGGTTTCTGTAATGTCTCATTGTTCACAAACAGTTTCTGTAGATTTTCTTGAATTTTTATTGAAAAGACGACATTTAAAGAATTTGTAGAAATCTGCAAACAAATTCGTAAAGAATAAGAAATTTAATTTAACAATGAAAAAGAAATTATTGATTCTATCATTGATTTATTGACAAATTTCTATTGAGAAATATGTTCCTAAACATCTATTTAGTTTATTGTAGAATTTTGATAAATGTTTCGTCGTCTTTATTTAACAATCAAAAAATTGATTCTCAAATCGTAACCACCCAAATGGATGATTATGAATGTCGAATTTGCGCTCAATCTCAGTAATTATACATCATTAAAACCTTTTATATGTCACGAATGAAATCTAAAAATTTTTCCACAATACTACATTCCCAGTTCAACTACCATACATTGCCGGTCACTCTTTTTAAATTTAAGAATTAGATCCAGTGATCCAAGGTTGCAAGTTTGAAAATGAATCATATTCAGTATTTGTGATTTATGACACAAATTTAAATTATGAAATTTTCCCTGTGATAGTTTTTTGTTTAATATCTGTTTTTTTTTAATGTAGGAAGCGTATATATATCGTAGTTGGATCATGCTTCTTCTTTTTCCTGTGTGGAGTACCAATGTGCACAACAGGGGGAATTCATCTTTTTCAAATATTTGATCAAAGATGTACTTCCTCCCTCTTACTTCTCTGCTTTGTAGAGGTAACAATACTTCCTCCCTCTTACTTCTCTGCTTTGTAGAGGTAACAATACTTCCTCTCTCCTACTTCTCTGCTTTGTAGAGGTAACAATACTTCCTCTGTCCTACTTCTCTGCTTTGTAGAGGTAACAATACTTCCTCTCTCCTACTTCTCTGCTTTGAAGAGGTAACAATACTTCCTCTGTCCTACTTCTCTGCTTTGTAGAGGTAACAATACTTCCTCTTTCCTACTTCTCTACTTTGTAGAGGTAACAATACTTCCTCTTTCCTACTTCTCTGCTTTGTAGAGGTAACAATACTTCCTCTGTCCTACTTTTCTGCTTTGTAGAGGTAACAATACTTCCTCTCTCCTACTTCTGTGCTTTGTAGAGGTAACAATATTTCCTCTTTCCTACTTCTCTGCTTTGTAGAGGTAACAATACTTCCTCTCTCATACTTCTGTGCTTTGTAGAGGTAACAATACTTCCTCTCTCATACTTCTGTGCTTTGTAGAGGTAACAATACTTCCTCTCTCATTCTTCTGTGCTTTGTAGAGGTTACAATACTTCCTCATTTCCAGTACTCCTGTTTCCTTTATTTTTTGTTTAGACTCCTAAAACAAAAACTTCTTACATTTTCAAATATTTCACTTAGTTAATATTTAACTTCTGAACTTACAGTTGAGCCGCAGAAGGGGTTATGAATACTTTTAAACATTTACATTTGATCGTTGTAACTTTGTTTGGTTTATACATAACAGTTCTTTTATTTCAGATGGCATTGGTAGCCTGGGTGTATGGATATCAGAAGTTTCTGGGAAATATTGAAGAAATGGGAATACAACTTTCTAAACCAATCAGGAAACCTTGCTTTACCATTTAAACCTCTATCGGAGGTTTACGTCCTTGGGGTATCATTTAATCCCAGGGGGTTTCATTTCCATTGGTTGAATTTTTCCAAATATATTCATTTGTATAAAGACCTGAATAAATAAGTTTTATATTAGCGGGGTTTAATGAAAATTGTTGCATTCCAAAAAACAATTATAAAGGAATGAAAATTTGATGGATAAATGAATAATTGGTCTTTGATTCTGAATGGTGTTAATCTTCTACAGGAAGGAGATACAAACTAAAATTAATCTTGACTAAAAGCTAAAAAGAATATATTGACTTTAAAGGATTTAAATTAATTTGAATGTTGACGTTTTTCTGTTTTCAAAAGTTTTAAATTCTTACATTTTCCAACATTCTCTTTGTATATCAACGCAAGTCACTTTATTAAAGAAAAACCACATTTGAAAATAATCAATTTATAGCCAAAAAAACAAGGATCTTTCTCGTTAAAAATTACTCTCTCTTTTATTATAAATGATAACATTTATAAGATACCTTATTTAACTTGAAATGTCAATTTTTAATCTTATCAAAAAAAGTTGAGGTTATTGTGTAAAGATCAATGTGGATTGTACTGTGGTGTGCAGTCTGTCCAATCATAATTCTGTTTATTGTTGTTCTTAAATGGGTCAGCTATAAACCTATGAAGTAAGATTTTAGATTTTTCAAATATTATTTCAAAATGTCGGTACAAAAATCTGCTTTTATAATATATATGCCTAGTTAGAAATATGAATTTTTTTTATATGTTTACTTCTATGTGTTTACTTCTATTTGTTTACTTCTATGTGATAACTTCTATTTGTTTAAATCTATTTGTTTACTTCTATTTGTTTACTTCTATGTGTTTACTTCTATTTGTTTTCTTCCATTTGTTTAATTCTACTTGTTTACTTACATTTGTTTACTTCTATTTTTTCACATCAATTTGTTTAATTTGTGTTCCTCTATTTAATTACTTCTATTTTTCACCTCAATTTGTTTACTTTTATTTGTTTACTTCTATTTGTTTACTTCTATTTGTTTACTTCTATTTGTTTACTTCTGTTTGTTTACTTCTATTTGTTTACTTCTATTTGTTTACTTTTATTTGTTTACTTCTATTTGTTTACTTTTATTTGTTTACTTCTATTTGTTTATTTCTATTTGTTTACTTCTATTTGTTTATTTCTGTTTGTTTACTTCTATTTTTTTACTTGTATTTGTTTACTTCTATATGTTTACTTTTATTTGTTTACTTTTATTTGTTTACTTTTATTTGTTTACTTCTATTTGTTTATTTCTATTTGTTTACTTCTATTTGTTTACTTTTATTTGTTTACTTTTATTTGTTTACTTCTATTTGTTTATTTCTATTTGTTTACTTCTATTTGTTTACTTCTGTTTGTTTACTTCTGTTTGTTTACTTGTATTTGTTTACTTCTATATGTTTACTTTTATTTGTTTACTTCTATTTGTTTACTTCTATATGTTTAGATTTAACGATGATTATGAGTACCCAGCTGGAGTGCAAGCTGTTGGATGGATATTTGAACTTCTACCAACAGCTATTACAGTTGGATACTTCTTTTTCTCATTGTACAAGTAGGTTTATATAGTCTTTCATGTACATTGTACTGTGTGTACAGATCGCTGTAATGTGTAAATTCCAGTGCATTGGAAGAACCAACTGATCACTAAGCGGGAAATTCAAGAGATTATTGTTGAACGAACTTCCGAGTTTCCTTTTTGGGTCTTTACATTTAATTGTTTAGATTAACATCAAGAAATAGAAAATAATGAGAGACTACAAAACTGACCATATATAATAATAATAATCCTCTTTTTTAGAGCTCACAAATATGATTTATAAATAGTATCCATGAGAGTTTTCATTATTTAGGTCTCTTTTAAGCTTACAAATATGATTTTAGGAATAGTATCCATGAAAGTTTTCATTATTCAGATCTCTTTTAAGCTTACACATATGATTTTAGGAATAGTATCCATGAGTTTTCATTATTCAGATCTCTTTTAAGCTCACAAATATGATTTTAGGAATGGCATTCATGAGAGTTTTCATTCTTCAGATCTCTTTTAAGCTCACAAATATGATTTTAGGAATGGTATCCATGAAAGTTTTCACTATTCAGGTCTCTTTTAATCTCACAAATATGATTTTAGGAATAGTATTCATGAGAGTTTTCATTATTCAGGTCTCTTTTAATCTCACAAATATGATTTTAGGAATGGTATTCATGAGAGTTTTAATCCATCTCCTTCCTGGGAACTCACAAATGCAAGCTTAGCATTGCGACTCAAAAAAACCAAGGCAAATAACAATACATTTTTATTTTGACAACTCAATTACTTAAGCATTAAAAGAGTTTATTCAAGACAAAATCTAAATTAGACCTGAAATTAGACCTGAAATTAGACCTGAAATTAGACCTGAAATTGTTTCAGGTTTTCAAGTTGTCATTAAAGTTTAAACCTTTGTGGGCAAAATAATGGAATTAACGTTAATTTTACAGTCTAATTAAATCATGAAATTTTATTAATTCTTGAAAAATCAATCAAGTATTTTTTATTTAGGACAATGAAGCATTCTTTGATGAAACAGTGTACAAAGTTACAGCCTCGCCGAAGAAAGAAAAAATGACGGAACTTTAAATATTTAGTTTATTTTGTTCAACTCATCAGATTATCTTCTTATCAGCTCAACAGTTTATCTCCTGATCAGCCCATAAGCTCATCAGCTTATTTACTAATCTATTGGTTAATTCATCAGATTATCTTCTTATCAGCTCAACAGTTCATCTCCTGATTAGCCCATAAGCTCATCAGCTGATTTACTAATCTATTGGTTAACTCATCAGATTATCTTCTTATCAGCTCAACAGTTCATCTCCTGATTAGCCCATAAGCTCATCAGCTTATTTATTAATCTATTGGTTAACTCATCAGATTATCTTCTTATCAGCTCAACAGTTCATCTCCTGATTAGCCCATAAGCTCATCAGCTTATTTACTAATCTATTGGTTAACTCATCAGATTATCTTCTTATCAGCTCAATAGTTCATCTCCTGATCAGCCCATAAGCTCATCAGCTTATTTACTAATCTATTGGTTAACTCATTAGCTCATCACCTGATTTACTAATCTATTCATCTGATTAAAAACCTATCTGTTCATCTTATTATAAGCCAATCACCTCATCATCTTATCAGCTCATCATCTCATCAGCACATCAATTCATCCATCAGCTCATCAGCTCATCAACTCATCAGCTCATCAACTCATCAGCTCATCAACTCATCAGCTCATCAGCTTATAACTCATCAGCTTATTAGCTCATCAGCTCACCAGTTCAACGGCTCATCAGTTTATAAGCTTTTCAGCTCATCAGCTCACCAGTTCAAGGGCTCATTAGTTTATTAGCTTTTCAGTTCATCAGCTCACCAGTTCAAGGGCTCATCAGTTTATCAGCTTTTCAGTTCATCAGCTTATTTGCTGAAGCTTATCAGCTCATTAGTTTATCTTCTCATCAGCTGCTGCTGCTGCTAATAATAATAATAATAATAATAATAATAATAATACTAATAATAATAAAAATAATAATAATAAAAATAATAATAATAAAGAAATCTAAGTAAAAGTCTAGTTTATTAGGCACCTTTTTGTTAGGATGTTACTTACAGATTATAAAAAATAAATAAAATCTAAAAAGTCCGGAGAAATTTTTTTTAAAATACGACAACCTGATTCTGACAATTCCGGCGTAGATTTTGTTTAATATTCTTTTTTAATTCTTTTTATTTAATAGAAAAGGTTATACTGAGTTATAATTGTTTTTTGTTTCTGTTCTGTATTTTTATCTCTTATTAAAATCACAACGTATTGACGGAGAAAGGTTAGATCAGAACTTCTGAATACAAAAGCGCTAATCTACAACGCCTAGGACTCGTATCCACAATGAAAACTAAGCGATTCAGTGCTTAATCCATTAAAAACAGCTGACTTTTATTCTTCCCATCTCAATTGACCGATAGAACATTTCGTTGCTTCTACTAAGTCGACTTGGTCAACCCTATAAAGATATTGAAAAGGATTAACTTAATCCATCGTCCTACAACAGTTACGGATTAGGCCTAAAGAGATGTTGAAAATGATTAACTTAATCTACCATCCTACAACAGTTACGGGTTAGGCCTAAAGAGATGTTGAAAATGATTAACTTAATCTACCATCCTACAACAGTTACCGGTTAGGCCTAAAGATATGTTAAAAATGGTTAACTTAATCTACCGTCCTACAACAGTTACCGGTTAGGCCTAAAGAGATGTTGAAAAGGATTTACTTAATCTACCATCCTACAACAGTTACAGATTAGGGATGAGGGGATTAACACTATGTGTATGCACTTACATAAGCCGAGTGCAAAACTAAAGAATGCTAAGCTAGCTGTAGCTAAATATTTCTTTAATAAAATGAATTTAGAGTTAAATTAACCTAATCTCAGACTTTTACATAATCTCATAAAAATGGGTAATGTGAATGAATAAACATTCGCCGAAACATTTTCCAGAGAATCATGATTGATTGATAGATTATGATGAGAAACTGCGGGGGTTTCCCGGGTATAGATATTTAAGCTACAGCTTAATATAGAGGTTTAAATTCAGTCACGTGAGCGGTATTTAAGCTGACACTTAATATTTAAACTGTAACATTTCGTTCTTTAGTTGGACTCAGATCTTTATTTTTAACTTTTAGGACTAAATCTTTTAATTCGTTGTAAAAAATCTGTTTATTTCGTATATTTAATTTAGCTTTCTGTACAAAGACAAGTTTGCAAGATTGCACTTAACAATAAACCTATTAACCCGTCAAACAAAGAGGTTTTGTTAAGTTGTATATCTATCTAAGATTTAAAGTTAAAAAAGATAAAAAAACTAGCTGAAAAATGTATATAGCTGAAAAATGTAGATAGCTGGAAAAATGTACATAGCTGGAAAAATGTACATAGCTGAAAAAATGTACATAAATGGAAAAATGTACATAGATGTAAAAATGTACATAGGTGGAAAAATGTACATAGATGGAAAAATGTACAAAGATGGAAAAATGTACATAGCTGGAAAAATGTACATAGCTGGAAAAATGTACATAGCTGGAAAAATGTACATAGATGGAAAAATGTACATAGATGGAAAAATGTACATAGCTGGAAAAATGTACATAGATGGAAAAATGTACATAGCTGAAAAATGTAGATAGCTGGAAAAATGTACATAGCTGGAAAAATGCACATAAATGGAAAAATGTACATAGCTGGAAAAATGTACATAGCTGGAAAAATGTACATAGATGTAAAAATGTAGATAGATGGAAAAATGTACATAACTGGAAAAATGTACATAGATGTAAAAATGTATATAGCTGGAAAAATGTACATAGCTGGAAAATGTACATAGATGGAAAAATGTACATAGCTGCAAAAATGTACATAGATGGAAAATGTACATAGATGGAAAAATGTACATAGCTGGAATCTAATAATCCTTAATAACTAAAAAAAGATATTTTGATTTCCGAAAAAGTTTCGGTTTTTAGTGCAGATTTCCTAAATTTAAATTATAAAGACAATTAACGCTATAACTGGAAGAAGCGTCATGAATTTCTAGTAGTAATTGTATGTATTGTATATATATCTTTATAAAAAAGAATGCAGAATTAAACTCTGGTCGTAAATTCATCTTGTGAGACATTGATGATCTTTAAATAGTCTTGACTCGACATTTTCAGGTCCAAAAACAAATCTTTATCTGACTTTCTATAAATCCAGGCCTGTTCCTTTACTTAGTTATACAGGGTGTTTGGCTACTTTTATTCTACTAAACCTTACTCTGACTCCCTCCTCACTTCCCTCTACCTCCACCCCCCCCAATCCCTTCCTCAATCCCCCCCTACTCCCTGTCCTCCCTTCCCGCTACCCTCTTCCTCCATTTCCTTACCTCCCTTTGTCCACAACCGTTAACTACGACCCTTCGTTAACGACCATTACGGCGGCTCTTTGAAGAGAAAATCCTAGGTAAGAAATCATTCAAATTATTTGCAATTAAATATATATAAATATATAAAAAACACATTGAAGACAACATTCATAACCTTATCTTCCTGAAAAACTAAAAAAATAGTTGTCAGAAAACTTGATAGTTTTACGATTTTTAAAAAAATTAATAAAAAAACTAATGTTTTCAAAACGGATCGTTTTCTTTCCTTGAAAGTTCAAAACGAGTGGTTCGATTTCAATAAAAATAGGTTTTTTTTTCTAAAAACAGAACGATCATTTTTAGAAAAAAAAGAAAAGAAAAACAATAGTTTTATTTATTAATAACCATAGATACACATAAACATAAAAATTCATAAATAGCTGTCAATTAAAAAAGCTTCTCTCCTTGATTGTAAACTTGTAGTTCGAAAAAAAGCTTGTTAACAATCAAAACTCAAATAAAAAAGCCGTCTTCGTTGATGTTGGTATTGATATAATCAGCAACCACAATGAATATAAATATTAGATCAGTATCCACTGAACATTTTAGTACACAATGAATGATTTCTCAAACAATCAACTCTATATTTCTTTAATTTTATATGCGGTCTGCTTTTCTGTAATGATAAATTAAACATTTAAGGTATTCAAAATTTTGTCCAGAATCAAATCTAAATTGATGTGATTTAATCAAACCACTAAACTTTCTGACCATTCATTTCCTTGTCTTTGCTCCATAAAACTGCAAATAACTTTATTAACTTTGTTTGGTCCAATAAATAATTTAAACAAATCTCGTCTTCTCTAATGAATAAAGGCATCTTTTGCTTGCTTGGAAGTTTCATTCCATTTAATCAATCATATTTTTAACCCAAATTCCAACATTTATTCAAAGTTTTTTCTTAGTTTATGATGCAACAAAAGACGACATTAGATTTTATTTTTTAACGTTTTATATTGGATATATTCAGTGTACTGCCCCTTTCACTGCCTAAAATGTTACTCCGTACCACTTTAAATAACATATTTGACTACATCTGAAAATTTTCATTAACGATTATTGGCTATTTTTCATACAAAAGAGATGCGTATCTTAAATTCACAAATTCAGGGTTATTTCAACAAAAGATACTTTTATCCAACAAATTATCAAATAAATTTGTAAGTACAATTTAATCTATACAATTTAATCTATATACAAATTTAGCTTGTCTGTTTCACATAGATTCAGCTTGCTTATAAAAAGTCTCATTAATTTTTAAACAGTGTCGACTTTGAAATGTCACAAAGCCAATTGGGCTTTGATTTTACCGCTCTAACTCACTTTAGCTTTTCTGTAGCCCTTTACATGTACATTTTAGCATCATGAAGCACTGAACCGATCAGGCCCAAATTTTGTGTGGGACCTCACGCCCAGAGAAGGTTTATGTATGATCAAAATTTTGAAAATTCACAAAATTTTTGTGAAAATCCGTGAACTTTTTTTGTTTTTGTTTTACGATGTACACAAAGAGATAATGTTCACATTTAAGGAGATGGGTGCGAAGCGCCTTCAAAGAATAGTATTGTTAATTTGTATTCACTATTGCAGTTAAATAACTGCAATTTTAATGTTGATTGTTAAACGCTCAAGCAAACAAAATAACTGAAAATAACCAATGACGTCAAATACAGCTGCAACCAAAGAGAATAGAATATATATTAGAGTGGAATTTACTACAAAAAAGAGTAAAACGGCCATTTTGTTGTACTGTTTCCATACTGCAGGTGTACTTCACATATTTTTGCTATATAACCTTTTGGGCCCTGGAACATAATTTTATAGAAAATCTAAAATTAATATTAAACAAAGACAGCATATCTAATGTACACAAACATGAGTTAGTATAAAATGTGAAAGTAGTATTATCTTTTTAAAAAAGATTGAATAAGTTAAGGATTTTAGTTTTATTACAGCGACATTTTCAATCAAATTCAAGGTTATCCCCCGCCCCCCCCCCCTTATAAATACGCCAGAGATGTCAGATGTCTGTTTATCATTTGTGTTATTGTTTACAATCTTTATTATTGTTGTTACGCAAAAACTAGTTATTCAGCAGTCCAAAAACGTCACAGCAAAGTTGACGGAAACCCTATCGACCCTCTCCTTCTATTCAATATTTCCTTGTAAATTTCTATTGCATTACTTTATATAGAGAGTCCTAGGCTCAGTTAAAGGTTTAAAGTTTAGATATTTGTTTGTACGTTTTTATTAACTTTTTCATAAAAGAAAAAATGCTTATTCTTTGAACAGAAATTTTTTGTGCAAAAAAAGGTGTTTCTGGTTACTAAAATACGTTAGATGTCAGGAGTTCCAATTCGAAAAAGATGATTTAGCCCAATACAAACTTGAATAATTTAGTTTTTTTCCACAAATGAATGAAAATCAAGATAAAATCTGTTTGATAGAAATAAATGACCCCCACTCCTATCTGACTAATTAATGATGAAAAATGTTGTAAGATTTAAATTGATCCTCAACTTTTTAAGCTTTACAATTAATGAGCCAAAGCCCAG